GCACCTCAGTCTTACTGCCCATTTTTTTGCCTCTAAAGGTGAATTTTATCCTCACTGACTCATTCACAATCCTTCCTCAAGGTAAAACAAACCCTTCCCTTTGCCTCTTTCCCCGAACAATACATCCTTTGAGTGATGCAAAATCTTGCACCAGGCGCATGGGTAGCCTAATGAACGTATTTTTAAAAATTCTCTCAAGGGTCATGGACATCACTGGCTGGTCAGCATTTATTGCTCATCCCAGTTGCCCCTTGAAAAGGTGGTGGTGAGCTGCCTTGTTGAATCACTGCAGTCCATGTCCTGTAGGTAGACCCACAATGCCATTAGGGGGGAACTCCAGGACTTTGACCCAGCAACCGTAAAGGAACAGTGATATATTTCCAAGTCAGGATGGTGATTGGCTTGGAGGGCAACTCCCAGATGCTGGTGTTCCTGTGTATCTGCTGCCCTTGTCCTTCTAGATGGAAGTGGTCAAGGGTTTGGAAGATGCTGTTTAAGGATTTAGACGAATTTCTGTAGTGCATCTTGTAGATAGTACACACTCCTGCTATTGAGCATCGGTGGCGAAGGGAGTGGATACTTGTACGTGTTAAGCAGGCTGCTTTGTATTGGATGGCACCAAGCTTCTTCAGTGTTGTAGGAGCTGCACTCATCCAGGCAAGTGGGGAGTATTTTATCACACTCCTGACTTGTGCCTTGTAGGTGGTGGACAGGCTCTGGGGAGTCATGAGGTCAATTACTCACTGCAGTGCTCCAAGCCTCTGATGTTCTTGTAGCCATTGTATTTATATGGCTAGTCTAGTTCAGTTCCTGGTCAATGGTAACTCCCAGGATGTTGATAGTCGGGGATTCAGTGATGGTAACATCATTGAATGTTAAGGGGCTGTGGTTGGATTGTTTCTTATTGGAGATGGTCATTGTCTGGCATTTGTGTGGCACAAAGGTTACTTGCTACTTGTCAGCCCCAGCCTGGATATTGCCTGGGTCTTGTTGCATTTGAACATCAATTTTTTCAGTATTTGAGGAGTCACAAATGGTGCTGAACATTGTGCAATCATCAGTGTACATCCACACTTCTGGCCTTAGGATGGAGGGAACATCATTGATGACGCAACTGAAGATGATTGGGCCTAGGACACTACCCTGAGGAATTCCTGCAGAGATTTACTAGAGCTAAGATAACTGACCTTCAACATCCACAACCATCTTCCTATATGCCAGGTATGACTCCAACTAGTGGAGAATTTGCCCCCTGATTCCCATTGATTCCAGTTTCGCTAGGGCTCCTTATGCCACGCTTGAATGTGGCCTTGATGTCAAGGGGTGTCACTCTCACCTCCCCTCTGGAATTCAGCTCTTTTGACCAGGTTTGAATCAAGGCTGTAATGAGCTCAAGAGCTGGGTGGCCCTGGCAGGACCCAAACTGGGCATCAGTGAACAGGCTCTTGCTGAGCAGGTGTTGCTCGGTAGCACTCTTGATGAAACCTTCTATCACTTTACTGATGATTGAGAGTAGACTAATGGGGCGGTAGTTGGCTGGGTTGGATTTGGCCTGCTTTTGTGTAGAGGACATACCTGGGTAATTTTCTAAGTTGTCAGGTAGATGCCAGCATTGTAGCTCTACTGGAACAGCTTGGCTATGTGTGCAGCAACAAGGCTTCAGCACTATTGCCAGAATGTTGTCAAGGCCCATAGTGTTTGCAATATCATGTGCCTCCAACCATTTCTTAATATCACGTGGAGTGAATTGAATTGACTGAAGACTGGTATCTGTGATGCTGGGGACCACTGGAGGAGGCCAAAGTGGACCATCCACTTGGCACTTCTGACTGAAGATTACTACGAAACGTCTCAGCCTTATTGGTAGCACAGATGTTCTGGGCTCTTCCATTGTTGAGAATAGTGGAGGCTCCTCCTCCAGTGAGTTGTTTAATTGGCTACCACCATTCACAACTGGATGTAGCAGGATTACAGAGCCTAGATCTGATCCGTTGGTTGTGGGATTGCTTAGTTCTGTCTATTACTTGCTGCTTCTGCTGCTTGGCATGCAAGTATTCTTGTTTGGTAGCTTCACCAGGTTGACACCTTATTTTTAGGTATGGCTGGTGCTGCTCCTGACATTCCCTCCTGCAATCTCCATTGAACTAGGGTTGATCCCCGGGCTTGATGGTAATTGTTAAATGAAGGATATGCTGGGCCACGCAAACAGACAGAAAGATTCTAACTAGATAGGATGACAGTATTTTCCAACAGTGTTCAGAAACTCAGGTGAAGGCTCATGGCACAAATTGCAAGGTGTTACTCAGTTTAAGAAGTATAGGAGAGAAATCAACGGTGGTGGTGAGGGCAAATATATAATTTGGGTGACACTAAAAATAGTTATTTTTAAATTTGGGGATTGTAATAGAAAGAATAAATAGAAGGAATAGAAATAGAAAAGAATGTTGCAGTTCCTTGGAAAGTGTCTCTAAAAGATGGTAAGCCTCAATTTTAACAGTGAGGAAGAGCCAACACCCACAATCTTCTCCAATACAGAACACTAGAGGGCAACATCACACCATAAATGACTATCAGTGTCACATTCTCAAGAATGCTGAGTGAAAGTACTAAAGGAGCATTCAGTAGTAGACTTCGTCTTTTCTAAGCAGAATATGCGTTCTCCTGTTTCCCTCTGCAGGTCTCCCTTTGCCACAGTTTATATTTGTGAGAGCAGCTACACAGACTACTTTCACTGCTCTACCAATAATGAGGCATCTTTGCATTGATATGTCACATTCAAGTATTCAGGGGTGGAGAAAATTGAGATACTGATTCCAGTCTATAAAATTGATGAGGTCCGAAACGTCAGCCTTCCTGCTCCTCTGATGCCGCTTGGCCTGCTGTGTTCATCCAGCTCTCCACTTTGTTATCTCTATAAAATTGATGATATATGTTTCAAAACCTGGCCTTGAGAAAATTATGCTTCCAGTGCAATTTGAGCAAATAGATAACTGGGACAAGACTGAAAATTTATGGAGGCATCGTAAAAATTCTAGTCAAGCTGCTAATGATTTTAGACTTTAAAAATCAATGTTTATCTTTAAATTGCAGAAGTTGTGCAATTAAAACTCAAACACCTGAAAGTTTGCATTAGACTAGAAGACCCAATATTAAACCAAAGGGTCAGACAGGTAAAACAGAACAAGACAGTGCAGTACAGAACCAGAAGACATTGGCATTTTCAGGCAGAACCCCTTCAACAAATTGATAAAGGCAAAAGTAGTCTGACGTTTTACAAAGATAAAATGAGCATATTCACACAGTAAGTCTGAGTTTTTAAGTAATATTGCAAAAGATGGTTTTGCAGAGGTCTGAGAATGAGAGAATGCTGTAGCCTTTACAAAAGGCTGGAAATAATCACCTCACATACATCTGTAAAGTCTATGGTTTGCTCCAAAGATCCAGTGTATTCGAAAACTGTAAGAAATATTTCTTGAAGATGAGGATGAAAATCCCTTCTGGATCAGTTTAAACTTTGTCCAAGAACTTATCAGCAACATGCTGTATATTTCTAAATGTGTAATTACATTAGAAATGGATCTCAGTTATTAGTCTTTACCTGGAATGCAATAGTCCAACAAGTATTGGTAACGGGTGCAAAGCATTCTGGTATGTCTTGTGGCTGTGAAATATGTAATTTATGGCTTGAGACCGTCATAATGCAAATCGACTGAAATGAGTAGTTTTAAGTTACTGTTTGCAGACTTAAGGGGGCTTCACTGGTTTGATACAAATACATTTTATATTTCAGTTCAGCATTCTGTTCTCCCCTCAAAATTACATCCTCAGAGATCAAACATTTGCCACTTCACAGCTTACATGAGGGTCAATAGGGCTCTTGCTAAGCTGATGGAGACACAGAAGAATCTTGTTCGTGGGAACTTGCTGCATACAGAATGCCAGAAAACAAAACTTGTTAGCTTTTCAAAGTAATTCATTGTAGGTGAAGCATTTGGAGATACAGTTTTTTCTTTACAGCCTTTTTGGCTTCACAGCTTTGCTCCATCTACTTGGTTTCCGAAAGATAAAGTGTATTCACTTGCAGCATTAACCTCAGGTAGCAGACACAAGGAGAGCTTTATTTTTTTTTAATACTTTTTCCTGGTGTACCTGTGCTGATCATGAGGGAAGACTAGCTACAAGTTTGTAATTTGGACAATTCTACACTGTAACTTGAAAGTAAATTATAAGTTTTCTGACTTTGAGTAGAAACTACAAAACCTCTATCTCAACCTAACAAGACCAGTTCACTTAGCACTTAACATTAAGTACCAGGCCAAAGTAATTTGTGCTAGGCGGTTAATATGAAGTTTATTTTTTTTTTAAGTAAGGCAACTACATATATCCCTTGGTTAAATAGCATCCAAGATAAGTGACAAACTGATTCCTTGACAAAGAGCTACATCTACTGGGCAACTTTGTCAGTAATCAACAAAACCACTGTTCGGTGATGTAGTTTCCGTGCAGTGGCATTCCAGCAACTTCTCTTTGTTCCCATTACTTTGAAGAACCTCAAGAGAACATCATCTAAAAACACACCAAAGCCATCAGTTGAGTACAAGGTGAAATTTTTCAGTTGAAGAAGTGAAAGAAAATCTTGTGTTCAAAAGCACAGGAGAGACAGAGGAGATACCTGAGACTGACCATCGAAACCACACAATTAAATGCATGATTTTTCTCTAGATGCTCACATAAAGATGAAGGGAAAAGTGCATTTTCAAAACCCAAATAACATTTTACCAATTTTAATCTTTAACTCCCATTTTTTCTGTTATTTGTACAATGCCACTGAAAGTACTATACATACTCATGTAAAAGTTGAGTTTCTAAGACTATATTTTTAGTTTATAAAGTAAGAAGGAGGTTGAAATCCACCCTCTCCTATCATCTCGCTATTGCAGAGTGACAGGTCAGATACTGTACCCACCAATCCTGAAAGTGCTGCAAAAGAAGCTAAAAAGTATTATTGATTTCTTTTATTTAAGAAATATTTTCATGGAGTCTGACATTCATTTCTGCATACTAAATTCAAATTCAAAGACAAAAACTTTATGTACATATTTACAACATTTCAATTAGATTTTTCACAATACAAAAATATACTATTCAGCAGGGCATGCTCCGAGTATGTATTAATATCCATAGAAATCATCTTCCTCCTTGACTCCAGAACCAAATAACTCATCCCAATCGGCTTCTTCAATTTCATCATCATATGGACCATCATCAATATTAGCAATCACGTCGTCATCAGCCATATCATTCCGCAATTTATCTTTTTCTGAGCCATCGAGTGCACTTCATATCCCACATTTCTTGAATGATTTAACAACCTCCATTCTGTTTTCATCCTGGGCGTCAACAACCCACTCACATAGCATCGCTAACATTGGAGCCCATATACCCTTGACAAATGTCTTCTCTCCTTTGATCATCCAGTGATGCAATATTTTTCTCATGCCATCCTGAAAGGGCCTGTTTAGAAAGACATCCAAATGACTGAACAAGACTGGTTAGACTACTAGGAACTACTGCAATTTCATTGCTTTGCAATCTAACTTCAGCAAGAACATCATTATTAAGGTGTGGTCTGAACATGTCACAGATGAGAAGACTTGTTTTCTCTTATGTAACCTTCCTGGTTGGAAGCTGCAAATTTTCCTCAGCCATATTTTCAAACCACCTCTGTCCACTCATTGTTTATAAACATTAGCCAACTATTTCTTTTGGGAATTACTATTTTGGGAGGGATCACAGTTGCTCAAGCTTCATGCTGTCAGACATACAACAGTACAACGGTGTATTGTATTGTATACCACAATACAGTACCCTTTTACTGTCAGTTGTCTTCACTGTTTCCTCTCTGATTTGACTCATCATTTGCTTGGTCAGGATGTCAAAATTCATGGGAGTCTCATCCATGTTCCCAAAACAGGCCAATCTGTATCCATTCTTTTGTCAATATTTGGGTATAAATCACAGAAATGCTTTAGCCTGTCTTCGAGTTCTGCTGGGACAAGCTGTGGAATCTTGGTCTTTTGTCTCAGGACAACACTGCTTGCCTTTATAAATATGGCATGTAGGCTGACTTTGAAACTTGGAATGTCCAATTTTCTTTGTTGTTTTAGAATGAAGATTTGGATAGATCCTCGAGAAACTGAAAACCCATTCTGGTGATTTTCATTGGTGCATTTAGCAATTTTGTCTTCTGACTGTGACCACACGTCAGGCTTTTCTCTGTTTGCACATTTATTATTAGCCCGTCAAAAGTGTGGTATTCTCTGATTCTCTCAAGTAGGTTTGCACTAGAGCAAGATTAACTTTACCAGTGAGGACTTTAAAACTTTGGCTAAAAGCTGATGGTTGCCTTATACATGAGGTATGGGGCCAAAATTCTGAGATCAACTGTTACTCAAGTATACAAGCGATATATTTTGGGTAAGTAAACAGCTTAATCAATAACAGAGGCTTCCTATTCTTCTTCATTGTCAACTATGTAGCCATTATCCATTTTAAGGACTTCAATTTAAAGACAAATGGATCCTTCTGACAGCAGTTAAGATTTCCGCCACTATTTTCTAAGCAGACCTTCCGGAGACGGGTGTCTTTAGATAAAAATCTAACTGTCGGCAGAACTAGTTATATTTTACTTCCTGTTTTTACTACCAAACTAAAGGGCTGCAGGAAGAATTGTAAATTGTAAATTTATCAATTTTAATAAAAAGTCTAATTATTGGAGGGTCCTATCACTTGCCAGAGGCGAGGCATGGCTTGGGTTCAAAACTCATCTTGGAGAGATTAAATGTTCCTTGTATAAGGGTTCTAGGAGTTATTAGTACTTTCTAGGTTACATGATCAAGTCATTAATTTAAACACAGCTTTGAACAACAGATTAACCATCAACCTAAAGTATAAAAACCAAAAGAACTGTGGATGCGGTAAATCAGGAACAAAAACAGAAGTTGCTGGAAAAGCTCAGCAGGTCTGGCAGCATCTGTGAAGAAAAAAATCAGAGTCAACGTTTTGGGTCTGGTGACCCTCCTCGTGTTCCGAAGAAGGGTCACCAACCCAAAATGTTAACTCTGATTTTTTTCTTCACAGATGCTGCCAGACCTACTGAACCTAAAGTATAACATTAGATGTAATGATGTTTGAGTAAAAGGGGGAGCGATGGGTAGTGGAACTTAACTTTCAATATAAATAATGACATAAGATGTAATGATTGACAATCTGGCTGACCAATAGAGTAACTTACCTCACGTAGATCAACAACGCAGGAAAGGAGACCAAAATAATATCAAACCTTGAATGAGTAGTTATAGACAATTAATAGTTTGAGTAGCAAACATTTCTCTTTTACTCCAGTTGATGTAGTGACCAGGGCATCTCCAGAAAGATTTCAAGAAGAGGACATCATTGATAAAAAGTTATGTTAACGTTTTTATTTCAGACTTACATCATTTGCAGTTTTTAGCTCTTGGTGGAACATATTGCTGGTTGAACAATCGAATTCCTGCAATGACAAAACAATAGAAGTACCTATAATTATAGTTTTAAGAACAAGGCTAAACAAGAGCTTTGCTTTGCATTTAATTTAAATTTCATTTTCACACAAACAAATGTTGCCCTAAATCAGTGAACTAATATTGATATTTCCGGCCCCAAATGTGCATACAGCTTGTACAGATGCAGGATCCTTGTGTGTGTTTTTGACTGCCAATTGGTCAAAGTCTATTGATTGTATCAGCTCCGTAAATTCAGATCATAAGAAACGTTATTTTATTTAATTTGTCTGCTAGATGACCTGTTGTGGCAATGCACATGGGGAGTCAACTGTAGTCTTCAGGTAGAATGGGGTTATAAGGCCATGGATAACTGGACCAGTGTGCAGACATGGAATTCATACCCCATTTCAAGGCTGATATTCTACCAGAATTTTGCGTTATAATTACTGGTAATTAAATTTAATAAAATTATAGTGATTTAGGAAATCAATAGGTTGAACAGAAATTAGTGTGACCAGTTTACAAATATAAATGTTGATAACAATTAATAAAGGGAAAAAAACTGATTAAAAATTAAAAAGTACAACAGGAAAAACTTTTGTACAGATAGTGACTGCATGGAAAAATAGGGGCAGGAAAGGGAATTTTGTTCCACAATCCAACCCAAAACTGGACAAGATTATGGCAGAGAATATCAGAAAGTTCAGGTAATGAGGTCCCTACCATTGGCTCATCTGGCAGTTCCCACTCCCTGTCCAATAGCTTAATCTGAGGTGGCAATTGCAGGGAAAACATGACCCTGACTCCCTTTCTCCATAACTCTCATATTCTCCTCAGCCCATTGTATCTTTATCCTCTTATCTTCAATTCACAAACTTGGGGAAATAAATAGCAATATCTTGAAAACTGTCCATATTACAGAGGTGGTGGTGCTGGACATCTTAAAACACATAAAGGCAGATAAATCCCCGGGACCGGATCAGGTGTACCTTAGAACTTTGTAGCAAACTAGGGAAGTGATTGCTGCGTCCCTTGCTGAGATATTTGTATCATCAATAGCCACAGGTGAGGTGCCACAAGACTGGAGGTTGGCTAACGTGGTGAGTCTGACATCAGTAGTGGGCAAGTTGCTGGAGGGTATTCTGAGGGACAGGATTTACACGTATTTGGAAAGGCAAGGACTGATTAGGGATAGACAACATGGCTTTGTACGTGGAAAATCACATCTCACAAACGTGATTCAGTTTTTTGAAGAAGTGACGAAGAGGATTGATGAAGGTGGAGTGGTGGACGTGGTGTATATGGATTTCAGAAAGGCGTTTCACAAGGTTCCACATGGTAGACTGGTTCACAAGGTTAGGTCACATGGAATACAGGGAAAACCATCCATTTGGATACAAAATTGGTTCGAAGGTAGGAGACAGGTGGTGGTGGTGGAAGTTCGCTTTTTGGACTAGAGACCTGTGACCAGCGGTGTGCCGCAGTGATCGGTGCTGGATCCACTGCTTTTTGTCATTTATATAAATGATTTGTATGTGAAAAGAGGTGATATGGTTAATAAATTAGCAGATGACACCAAAATTTGTGGCATAGTGGACAGCGAAGGTTACCTCAGAGTACAACAGGACCTGGATCAGATAGGCTGAGGGGTGGCAGATGAAGTTTAACCCAGATAAAATGTGAGGTGCTACATTTTGGTAGGGCAAATCAGGGCCAGATGTATACACTTAATGGTAAGGTCCTGGGGAGTGTTGCTGAATAAAGAGACCTTGCAGTGCAGGTTCATTGTTCATCAAAAGTGGAGTCACAGGTAGACAAGGTAGTGAAGGCGGTGTTTGGTACGCTTGCCTTTATTGGCAGTGCATGGAGTATAGGAGTTGGTATGTTATGTTGAGGTTGTACAGAATGTTGGTTAGGCCATTTTTGGAATACCACGTGCAATTCTGCTCTCCCTGCTATAGGAAAGATGTTGTTAAACTTGAAAGGGTACAGAAACGATTTACAAGGATGTTGCCAGGGTTGGAGGGTTTGAGTTATAGGGAAAGGCTGAATAGGCTGGGGCTATTTTCCCTGGAGCGTCGGAGGCTGAGGGGTGACCTTATACAGGTTTATAAAATCATGAGAAGCATGGATAGGGTGAATAGTCAAGGTCTTGTCCCCAGGGTAGGGGAGTCCAAAACTAGAGAGCATAGGCTTAAGGTGAGAGGGGAATGATTTAAAAGGAACCTAAAGGGCAACTTTTTCACACAGAGGGTGGTGTGTGTATGGAATGAGCTGCCAAAGGAAGTAGTGGAAGCTGGTACAATTACAACATTTAAAAGGTATCTGGATGGGTGTATGAATAGAAAGGGTTTAGAGGGATATGGGCCAAATGCTGGCAAATGGGACTAGATTAATTTAGGATATCTGGTCGGTATGGGCGAGTTGGACCGAAGCATCTGTTTCCGAGCTGTACATCTGTATGACTCTGACACTCATTACTTAAAACTCGTCCTACTACCTGCTCCCTCAACGTATACCTCTTTCCCTTTGAACTACATATGTAACCCCCGTTTCTACCTCTCCCCTTTAAGCCACTGCAGCTGGCTTTCTCTCAAGTCTCCATCCACTCTTACTCATTTCCTCCAAGGCAGTTTGCTGGTAACCTCCTCGCATTCAACCATTATCACATCTCCCTTCCAAACTCTTGCTATCTGTTTCCCTTTGCTTTCACTTGTTTTCCATATTGAACTCGTCTTTTTCTTTTCAGAAAAAAAAATCAATTTGGAAGAAATAAACTTTTCCATACTCTCTCTGACCTAAGCTTCTTATTCACTTTCTTTCAATCCAGTCTCCCTCTCTAACACCCTCAATTAAATATGGTTCATAAGTTTGTAAAATGGTAAACAAAAGCTGTAATAAAAACACTGTTGGCTCCTTTTCTATCTTACAGAGAAGTCAAAGTTTACCTCAGTGTGTTCAGTAAAGCTGCTAATATGTTTCCTCTTATCATTCACCATGATGAAAACAATGCAGAAAGCGTAAGAAGCTGAAGAAGAATAAAGAACAACACTAATGAATCATAAAATAAATTGATACATTTCAGATACTCAGCATGCACAATCCAAGTTCAGATTAGAATCACAATTTTAGTTGAAAATATCAAGTCCAAGCATGGCTCTTTTGGAGAAGCTAAAACCTGCGAGTAAAATCTTTAAGGAAGGCATGAAAACACCAAAAGGACTATTTGATGGGTAAATTTGAACAGGATATTGAGAAGTCTTTTTCTAAATTTAATTTTGTTTAAACCATGATTTTGGACACTAGAAATATCTTGTACTGATAAAAAAAACTGAAAAAGAATCAGAAAGAATTTGGAGTCAGCTGTGGGAACCCCATGTACCCTTAGGGCAACAAACTATACAATAGCAGATATGCCACATAAAGTGACAAATATTTGCACATCATCACCTATTACAGTGTCAAGTACTGCAGCTACTTTATAATAAGACCAGTTAGCTGACTTACACATCTGTAGAAGGAAGTATTTAATGGATCTTTAACTAAAGACCAAATTAAGATCAAGATTACCAGAAAATAGTTAAAATAGAAAATATCTATCAAATGGAATTACAGGAAATGCTTTCCAAAATGCAGTTGTAAAAAATCCCAGAATGCAAAGCATTTAAAAACCAAATGCCATTTTAAGCCACAATGAACCAGGCCTTTCTGCATAATGTTTGAAAATGGACAGGTTATCTGCATGTTCCTTACAAGTGTAGAAATGGAAAATATTTAAATCCATTTTTCATTAATCTTACTCAATATTTTTGCTGGAATTACCAACGATTAGGAGGACAATTTAATAGTTAAGAACTATTAGGCCCAGGATTTGCTAACTTATAAGCAATCCTTTTCCAGGAACATACCTCAGGCATAAACTAATTCTAAAACAGCGTATACTCCTGTATTTTTAATATAGGTATACAGGTTATTAATTAACAAGGAAGTCAAAGGTTATTAGAGTAGCTGGGAATGTGAAGTTAAGGCCATAATCAGATCAGCCATGATCCTATTGAATCGTGGTACAGGCTTGAGGGACAAAATAACTTACTCTTGCTCCCAATTCATATGTGCAGGGCTCAGTTTTAACTGTTTTTGATGTACATTAATTCAGATGATTCTTCTACAAGGATAGCAGCAGAGTAATCTGTTTCTTTTCGTTTTTTTCTCTCTCTCTTCGTATTTTTTTCTTTTTACCTCCCATCCTCAGTTGGCAGTGGCAATGTCCAGTGTGAAAGCCAACACAGACTCCCGGTCTCAGTGTGGACCTGGACTCCTTGCCTCAAGGTGAAGCCTCGCAGGTTCTGGTTTGGAAGGGCTATTATTCTGAACTCTTATTTCTCTATTTTTCTAATTTATTGCTGGACATTTTATTTCTTTATCCTAATTATTTCCCCCTAAGAAATTGTACTTTAGAATCTGTATCTAGGTACCTTTGTACCTAAGATAGCGCCATAATTGGCAGCATGTAAACTTTTCACTGTACTCATGAGTACATTTGACCTTAAAGCTAATTCTGTATCTGGGGATCTTTAAAGTTACAGAAAATTAATAGCAAAGAAATTGGCTGTTCAGCCAAATTGGGTTATGGCCCATATCAACCTCCTGCCACTCCCAACTGACTTCATCCTGTCAACATCTTTATCTTTCGCCATGTGTTTATCCAACTTCTCCTCCACCTCTTCACTGCATCAACGATACTTACCTTGACATCGAGTCCTACATTCTCACCACTCTCTGGGTAAAGAAGTCCCTATCGGATTTATTGTTGACAACCTCATATTTATCTTCCCGGTTTTGGGCTTCCTTAACAAGTAGAAACATCTTCTCAACATGTATCTTATCAAAAACTTCCATAACCTTAAAAGACCTCCACTAAGTCATGTCTCAGCCTTCATTCACTCTGCTGAGGAAAAAGAAAGGGGCGGTACATGTGTTAACTTAAGCTCTTTTCTGGTCAAATTCTCGAAGGTTTAGCGTGGGTAAACTCGCACTAGTTGTGATGTTTGCGTTAAGGTTAAGAAAATGTTTTTGGCGTCTACCCCACAACGATTGAGGTTGAGGTTGATAGAAAAGTCTAGAAATGCATACAACAGGTCAGGCAGCCGTTGTAAAGAAAACTTAACGTTTGAGGGCAGTTCTATCATTATAAACGAGTCATTTCAGTTAATTGAACCCTTTAAAGTAATACCTCCTTGTTAAGAAAAGACAACTTTTTTTGTCATCTCAGCGAGACCGTTTATTAAATGGCGAGTCGACGATAACAGGGTCTTTTCCTCGGACTGCAACTCGGATTGACAGTCAAGACAACCAATACGTAAGCGGAGTTCCGACACATCTCTTCATTGTCCGCGTTGTCATCAAAGGAAACTGTCCAATCAGTAAAGGGACGTTAGAAAGGCGGGACAAACGCTACGTTTAGTAGGTCCAGGTGATTGGCAGACAATTAATCAAATGAGACATCAGAGTGACTGTCACGGGACTATAGCGAGTACCAATGATTTGCGAGGGGTGGGACGCAAACCGCGTTGCGGAGGACGGTATCGTCGGGGCCTAAGGGATACTAGCGACTGGCTGGAGAGAAAGAAGAAGTAGATATACAGGCGGCAGTGAGGATGGTTTGCGGTGGCTTCACTTGTTCCAAGAATGCGCTAATTGCTTTAAATGTGGTGTACATAGTAAGTGGAGTGGGTACGAGGGGAGGTCGCTGGAGGCTAATGTGGTTTTTGAGTGTCTGAGAAGGGGTTTAAATCAAACAATCCTAAGGATCCAGAGCATGCGCAACCCCAACTCTGACATGCAGCAACAAGAAATACCGGATCCGAGAACGGTTACGGTTCAGGAGGCCATCTGACCAATTTTGGTTGCTGGTTTTCGACAAGCAAATCGTTTCCACTCCACCTTTTTCTCATAGTCCTGTATATTTGTTATACTCATAATCCAATTGACTTTTGAAAGTCACGATTGAATCTGCCTCTCTCATACCCTTGCATAAATTCCAGATTCTAACCACACGCTCTGTAAAGTGTTTTCCTTTTAGTCAACTGTAGTTCTTTTGCTATTCAATTTAAGTTGGTGTACTCTGGTTCTTGATCAATGCAAATAATTTTTCCGATCGCATCTGTGCAACCTTTTCTTGATTAATCCGCATTTGTCTAATTGGATGTTAATTGTGTCCTGGATTATTATTTCTGAAAGTTTTCCCAGTGCGGAGGATAAAAAGACTGGCATGTTATCGCGGAATTTACTTCTCCATCCAGTTTTGACTATTTGCGAATCTTCCATTCATTTGACATCAGCGCTGTCACCGAGGAAAATTGGATGATATAGCCAGTACTTTGCAATTTCCACTCTTCCCTAAATATCCAAGGACGCATCTGATCTGGTTCTGGTGCACAGCCCTCTTTCTAATGCCTTTTGTTCTGCATATGTGTATTTCTCAGCCTGAGCACACTACAGCTGATGAGGCACTTTTAAAATGTAATTGTTGTGGTGTAGGGGTCAATAAATGTTGTAGTGTAATCAATTTGAATTAGAAGCTGGGATTTCTAATATATGGGTTAGTGCATTCTATATGATTGTAATATTTGATGCATTGGGTATTTACAGTTTATGGAGAGTATAGGTTTTGTATCCATTTGATTTACAACTTTGGCTCCATCTCATGAGGTAGTTTTGATACCTTATTGGCTGAGAGCCTGTTTTGGTCAAAGACCAGGGACTGTCCTAAAAAACTGTGGGACTGCATCTTTTGACAGCTGAGCAAGTTTCAATGTGGAAATAACTGATGTGAGGCTGTCAGTTCTGTCCCTGCTCTGTGCTGAGTTGGCTCATTTCAATTGAGGCAGTGGTAGGAGTGCTGCAATTGGCCTTCGTGTCTATGGGTTAGAGAAAATGGACTTGCTGGTCACTATCCTTTGACCCCTGTTGAAAGTTCAGAAGTGGACACCAGGTAGCCAGTCTTGACTATGATGTTTGCTGTGATCAAATAGCTTATCGAAAGTAACCGCTAATAGCACCATAGTAGTTACGCGAGGTACGAACACTGAAGCATAATTCGAGTTGTTTGTTTGGATTATCGAAGAGTGTATTTGCATACCATTTGTAAAACGATTCTGCACGTAATGAATAGTGGATCAACTTGGTTGCCAGGCCCAACTGTGGAATCTACAGCACTTTGCGTTTGATTTATTTCACGTGTACCAAAATACCGTGAAAAGCTTTGTTTACAAGCAGTACCGGCAGATCTCTGCAAGTAAAAGATGTACAGATCAAAAAGACTAAAAAACATGGGCATGCAGGTTACATTGCAAGTTACATTATTTGAGGCTAGAGTTCATTCAACAGTCTGATAATGGCCAAGAAGAAGCTGTTCCTGAACCTGCTCGTGCGTGTGTTCAGGCTTCTGTATTTTCTGCCTGACAGAAGAGGTTGTAGGAGGTCATTACCAGGGTGCGATGGGTCTTTGATGGCCGCTTTTCTGTGGCAGCGAGCCATGGAAATAGAGTTCATGGATGGAAGGTTGGCTTCTGTGATAGCCTGGGTTGTGTACACAACCTTCTGTAGTTTCTTACGGCCCTAGGCAGAGCAGTTGCCATATCAGGCATTTTAAGTTGAACTATAGCTTTCTGACTGGTGGTCTGAATGTGGCATTAAGCAGTTTGTTTAACACAAAAGTCAAAATAATTGGAAACTGAACTCTGTTCTCGCATTCTCGTGTTTGAATGCTATGACGACTGCCCTGAGATGCACTCTGGTTCAGATAATCCTATATCCATTGTGCTTCAGAATACCAAAGATTTGAAGCAATGTTAACAGATGCATTGTTATATCATAGCTTTTACCTTGGAAAATTGAAGGACCTGGTATGGGAAATACCCTTCCTTTCTGTTTGGAGTTGAGGAATAGTTACGTTCAAAGATCAGTGTGTTTTTATTTCAAAATCAAAAGTTCTGTACACGTGGACAAGCTCTGGTGGCTATTCAAATCTTGATTCTTAAATGAAAGATTCAAGAGGTGCCATTTGGTGGTTATAAAGTCACCTTGAGCATTTTGACTAACCTATGTCTATGATTGAAACCTGTCCAAAGAGGAAGCTGTAGAACAATGGAACTGACTACTTCCTCTTCACAGCAAGCAGGTGTACAATGGCATAAAAAAGGCACAGCAGGACTCGACAAAAGAAAGTCAGTAATTTCTGTGCTGTATGTGTTGTCTTTCTTTTGAATTGTGAAATTGGTTACATTCAAAGATTTGTACATCTTTCAAAAAGAAAAAACTCAACTCAAGTTTTATACCCATAGAGAAGCCCTGATGGCTGTTGCAATCTTGAAGAAGTCAAAGGACTTAGCATGGTGCAAAACAGTTGCATTGATCTTCACATACGTTCATATGTACACAGTAGCAGTTTGATTCTGTAATGACTGCTGCAATATATGTATGATGGGGACTACCTTTGAATGCTCCCAGACCTCATTCACTTGACTTGGACTGATTCTTCATTTCTAACTTGACACCAACATTCTGTGGCCTTGTTGCATTGAAAGAGCATCAACGCTTGAACAAACATCCACACTTTTAGCACTTACTTGAAATCTACTTAATTGAGTCATGGTAATGACTATTTACATTTTCATAGTCCCACCAAGATTAAAGAACATCCGAAAACACACCAGGAATGTAATTTGCCAAAAATACCCAGGCAGAGATTTCAGGAGAGCTGAAGAAAACCTTGGTAAAAGTGGTGTACTTTTAAGGAGGAGAGGCAGCTTAAAAAGGAAATTCTTAATTATGGGGCCCAATGGCTAAAGGTACAGCCACAAATGGAAAAGAGGAGGGAGTGAATATGACAGTCAATTAGAGGAACAAAGTGTGTGGTGCTGGGTAGTTGTAGGCCTGGAGAAGTTGATAGAAATGAGTTATTTGTAAAGTGACTTAAGCACTAGGATGAGAATTTTAAATCAGAAGGCCAGGAGGCAATGAAAGATCAGATCAACAGCTGCAAAACTATTGTGGTGAATGGAGACCCAGGCTGAGGAAGTTAGTATTTAGTTTGCAGTCATAAGCGACACACTGAAGTTGTGACCAGCATAGCTGAGACAGTGGTTATGCATATAGATAGGATAGTCATAGATTTTTATGTGGAGAGCAATTTTTGCATAAACAAATTATAAAATGACAAGATCTAATTACCAATAAATAACTACATTTAAGATAGATTTCTTAACACATTGAAACAACTGTTAACACTGATTAGATTTGAATGTTATTTCACAACTTGTGGCATTAGCCTTTGCCTGATCAATTTATGCAATATGGTGATCTTTGGTATTTTCACATGCTTAGCCATGTAACTGACGTTAAGGCTGGAGCAAAGGATAGTCGTTTTGCATAGTCATACAACAATGGTTTGCATTTCTATACAGACTTCAACATCAACATCCTAAGGAGCTGTACAAGGTACAGGAGGGATAAGCAGGTTTGGCTGAAAATCTACCGTACATAATGATAAAGTAGATGGAACACAATGCAATTAAATGTTAAAGGGAACATACAAGAGACCACCATTAGCGCTTCATTCAGAATTGGATCATGTGGACTGGTAAAATCTCTGATTCACTTAGTGAATCTCCCCCGCTGGGTTGGGGTTGGTGTTTCGGGCACAGTTACTGATATTTCTAATGGATCTGTTCAAGGATGTTATTACACACTTCTGGAGCAGGTGTGTCTTGAATCCAGGCCTCCTGGTTCAGAGGTAGCGATACTACCACTGCACCACAAGAGCCCCTTTAGGGCACTATTACTGGCCTTGGTACCTTGGTTCAGTGAGTTCTTACTTGGTCCAGTGAACCCTGCTTAAAAAGTATGGTGAAGGTGCCGGGTGACTACACTGCAAAAATTTGTCACGGTTGTAAAATGTTTTGGGAAGTCTTCAGGACTTGTAACATATGTTGTTCCCTTTTATTTTCTAAGCATGACAGTACTATTCCAGAATCCAGTGAATTGCAATATTATTTGGACGTGACAGTTGTTCCCCTTTCTCTTCCAGCTTGTCGGACTGTTACTTATCGGAGTAGCAGCGTGGGGCAAAAGTTACGGCATTGTTTCCAGTATAAACGTCATTGGTGGAGTCATTGCTGTGGGGGTCTTCCTTCTTCTCATTGCTGTTGTCGGACTTATCGGAGCAGTCAATCACCATCAAGTCATGCTGTTCTTTGTATCCTTTCGCTGATTTCTTTGGTCTTTAAAAACGAATTGGGCATGACTCCGTTAAGATATTCGTCTATTTGTAGCCAGATAAATTCATGTCCTACTCCTAGATCTTTGACACAATGAACTACACATTAGAAGCTTAGAAAAAGAGATCCTTGGTGCTTCTCTGATCCATGTGGAGATGCCTGGCCTACGTTCACTACTTCCCAGCAGAGCCTAGGCTATCATTAGGATCTTAATCTTTTGCGTTTCTGTGGTAAAAGCAAAATGCAGCGATAATCCCGAAAGTATAACTGAAAAGAATCGTACTGAAGGTTGCTTTAAGTCTTCTGCCAAAAAGACCCATGGTTGTCTTCAAATTGAAAATCAGGCTGATCATTCTGATACCAGTAATTCGGAGCTCAATGATAGGAGCACCTTTTGTACATCACATGCTGCACGAATAAACTGGGAAGCATCTGTTGTGTTTCTTAAGCCCTTGTCAGAGGCGCACTGTCAGTATCAAACAGATGCCCTGGGATGGAGTGTTACTGATGCTGTGGCTGCCACCCAAGCTTTGTTAGGATTTTGAAGTGTGGTGCAAGAAATGAGTGAAATATTCTTATTGTATGTGGCCACCTTGCAAGCCAGTGTATGGAAAATATTGTGAGCTGCATTGATTGATACCACTTCAGATGATTTCATGTTTGCTGCCACATTGCTCAAGTGTGTTTGTTTGCCTGCAGTATTTTTTTTCCCCTGAGAGGTATCAATACATTTACATTAAAACATGCTGATAAAGCTGCACCTTTGATGATTGAATATAGTTAAGGGACCAGTTTACTTAATGAAGTGCATGAACAAATATTAAATTGCCTGTGGCAATTTTTTTTAAAGGAAGAACTTTGAAGTATGCCAGGGTCTATCACTATGTCACTGCACTTTAAAGTCTATTTTCTGCCTGTAGTGGATTGTGGCGGTGGCATCCCAGTTGTTGGGGGGAGCCAGCAATTTGGATTTAAAGTACAATGCTGGAACACTAGTGAAAGCTATTGCACTGCAGTTAATCTATATTCTGTCTGACCTGAGTATACTTGATGTTTTCACTTTGTCGCAACAACAAACAAGTGTTCAATTCACTTCATAAACTGAAAATGCCACCTGAAGGAAATATTAGAAATGGACTTCAGGAGAAACCTTTATAAAATGCACATTCCAGTCATCTCAATTTTTTTCAGTAAATTTTATTTTCATTAATTTTCCCCCCTTTGTTTCCTTGACTTTGCTTTCACTCCAGTACATGGTTATTTTATTCCTGGTCTTTTTAATTCAGTTTGGAGTCTCCTGTTCATGTCTGGCTCTTAACCGAAGTCAACAGGTACCTTTAGCTTTATTTCTACAAACGTTGTGATTTCTCTTTGAAAAGGCCTGGCCTTTTGTAATTTTTCATGGGGTTGACGGCGTCACTGCACAGGCCAGAATTTCTTGCACATCTCTAAATTCCCTGGAGAAGGTGGTTGTGAACTGCCTTCTTGAACTGCTGCAATCCTTGGGACAACAACAATGCTGTAAAGGAGGGAGTTCCAGGATTTTGACCCTGATGGTGTGTGGCTTGAAGGGAAATTTGCAGGTGGCCGTATTCCCATCTACCTGCTGCCTTGTCCTTCTCAGTAGTAGCGGTTGTGGATTTGGAAGGTGCTGTCAGAAGAGCCTTGGTGACTTACTGCAGTGCATATTGTGAATGGTACACTCTGGCACTCTGTCCAATTCACAGTGGCAATAAAGTGGGGCTCAAGCCATACCTCAATGTTGGAGCATCCAGGTAAGTGGGGAGTATTCCATTACACTCTTGACTTGTGCTTTGTAGATGGCAGAATGACTTTGGGGAGTTAGGGGGCGAGTTACCCATCACAGAATACCCAGCCTCTGACCTGCTTTTGAGGCCACTATTTATATAGATTGTCCAGTTCAGTTTCTGGTCAGTGGTAATCTCAGGATGTTGATAGTGGGGGTTTCAGTAATGGTAGTGCCATTGAATATCAAGGGGCAATGACTGTACCTGGTCATTGCTTGGGACTTGTATGGTACAAACATTACTTGCGATTTATTAGCCCAAGACTAGTTCATGCCTTGCCGCATTTGAACATGGACTGCTTCAGTAAGTGAGGTGCACAAATAGTGCTGATTTTCATGCAAATGTTTCATCTCCCTTCTAGGTAACATCGTCAGTGTGTGTGGCCTCCGTTGAAGCACTGTTTTTCTGTCCTGCTCTGAATTTATATGGCCCGGTCTGTCATGGTGGGCAGTCTTGTTTCTGGTTTTCTACCGTAGTGGTATGTAGATGGGGGTCTATTTCAACATGTTTGTTAACTGCATCGGTGGCTGAAAACCAGGCCTCCAGGAATTCTCATGCATGTCTTTGTAGACCCCATCCATAGTGGTATGCACGCACCATGACAGACCGGGCCATATAAATTCAGAGCAGGACAGAAAAAC